AAGAAGAAGAAGAAGAAGAAGAAAAAGAACAAAGAAAAGTTCATTCTGGTCATGAAGTAGGACTCTCTAAACGCACAAATTCAACTCTGAAGGAAACCTCTATGTTTCATGGCCACTCGAACAAGCACACACTTTAAATCTGTGATAACAGCAGGAAGCAAGCAGCTCCCACTATGGCAGCTGTCACCATGCTTCAGATCTGTGCAGAATTTCTCTGCTTTAATTAGTGAGTTCAAAAAGCTTAGTCTAATTTGGTAGTCTCTAACAGACAAAAACAAAACAATAAAACAAAAGTCCTAACATCATGTATGAAAATCTTGTACAAGTTATCAAATAGACTATAAAATCAACTTTTCAAAACAAAAATTCTAACCTGATAAATACCAACACAAAGAGTCCGAGTGCAAACTCAATGCTTGTGCTTTCAATGTGTAAGGATAAAACACAACAGGAGACAATGGACATATCACAGAACTTACATGTGGGAGAAGATGTAACAGAGCATCTCCACTCAGAGTACCAACAGCCAGCGCCACGAGGAAACTCAGCAGAAACTTGAAAAACACCCGGTTCATGAGTGGCACCAAGATGACCCCCAGCAGAGACAGGAAACTGATGATGGAAATGGCTACGAAGCCACCAAGCCAGGCTGGCAAACCAATCAGAGCAGAGGGAAATCAAGTAATTTGTAAACGGAGAGGTTTCTGACCAGGGCATTAAACATCAGGCAAGCACAAAGCAGGCAAATTCAGGGCACCCTCGCCATAATTCTGCTGCAGGCCCAGATGGGGAACTTCATACACAAAGAGACTTCAAGGTAAGGAAGGGAACCTGGGGAGGGAAGGGGGATTTTTTTTTTTTTTTTTTTTTGGAGACAGGATCTCACTATGTGGTCTTACCTGGCCTGGAACTAACTCAGAGATCCACCTGCCTCTGCCTCCAGAGTGCTGGGATTAAAAGTGTGTACTACCATACTTGGCTTTAGTGGAAAAATCTTTAAATGGGGATTAAAAGAAGAGAAAAAGTTACAAGGATGAATGCTCCCTTACTTAGGATCCAAGTGGGCTTTCATTCCTAGAATACCTAAGTTACCAAACAGAAGAGGGAGGCAAACTAGGAACTAATTTCCTCAGTAAACAAAACATTTATTTCTTCTTCACTATGGCATTCTTCCCATTCCCCTTTCCCTTCTTTACTTTGAGACAGTCTCTTGTCTATGTAGATAGACCATGGTAGCTTTGAGTTCATAATCCTCCTATTTTAATGCTGGGATGGATTACAGTTGCTAGCATACAAAGCTTTATATGCTTAAAACGTATTTATTTTGTTCTTATGAATTTGTGTATGCTAGAATATATGTCTGTGTACCACATGCATTCAAGAGCCCTTGGAGGTTTGAAGAGGGCATTGGATCCCCTAAAGTGGAGTTACAGATGGTTGTGAGCCACCAGGTGGGTGAAAGGGACTGAACCATGTTCTAGGCAAGAGCAGTCAGTGCTGTTCAAAACCACTGAGCCATCTCCACCCCCAAGCCTTTTAAAAGGAGGCAAAAACACTTTTAAAATTTATATTCAGAACATTCAGGGCACAGAACAATTAAGATGTTGTATCTAGATCTACAATGAAAAAATAGCCTCAAATATAATAAGAAGTACAATATAAATATAGCCACTAAAAACTGTCCTTACATAACAAAGGCAGATTTACCTATTTGTAAAGAATAGGTCTTTTGAGGGATTTCCGCCTTCTTCTCACTTGCTGTATGAATCAGACAAGACCGAGCATCAATTTGATTGATGATGGCTGGGCAGAGATAGTTAAACTCTGTTGCATTCAACAGAATCTGGATGCTCATGCCATGGGATGTCAGCAGCTTTGTTGCATTGAAGCACTGAAGGAAACAAGGCAGTCAAAATCACAGAAGAAATTCCCACTAGGAGACTCCAAATGTAGTCTGACTCATCACCCTTAAGCTCTACCAAAGCTACTTTGTTGATAAAATTAATGCCAGTTAAAAATCTGCTTTGCTTTCGGCACTTTGGAATTTGCCTCTAGTAGCCTGAAGAAGATACTATGTTACAACGATGGTATGTCATTCTCCTCTGACCACATCACAAGTCACCAAGGGAGAAAACCTCCCTTGGAAGGAGCTTGGGGATAACTGGAGATTCACAAGCCTGTTAACTCATTGTACAAAGCTATTAAGGAAATGAGCTTTAATTTCGAAATGGGGTTCATTAGAGATTGAGAAATAGGTTTTGGGAATAATGCTCTCCGTCTCAGCCCAAACAAGCCCAAGACATGTTGCTCCTCCTGCTATGACACTACTTGCAAAAACGCAGCTCAGTTCTGTCTACATGCCTGGCAAGATGATTCTCTGCAATGAGCGATTTTTAAATTATACAGATGACTCTTGCAGAGGGCAACACTGGTTAATAAAACAAACCTGTCCCAGCAGGCAGATGTATTCAACAGTTTAATTGGATGACAAGCTTAGTTTGAAAGAGAAACTCTTTTATGCAATTTAACTACCCCCCCCAAATAAAGCTCATCTGGTTATAGTATCTGTATAGTATCTATTTCTCATCTTCTACAAAGATATTTTAGACTCTCACAATTCTTTACTAACAGTACTCAGAACAACTTCATTACCATTGTTGCATGGCTAAGACCATTCCTATGATTACTAAAGACTTCATAGTCACACACTGGCTTGAATGAAGTACCTACATTCTGCTCATTAAAGACTAATAACGAGTGGTTTTTTTTTTTTTTTTTTGCCTGATACTCATTAGCCAAAGTAAATTATGTAGCACTGACAAGTTTATTCTAGAAAAACACATGATCTGGGAATTTCACTACCCAACATTCTCAGTCCATTTTGTTTTAACTTCAATTACTCCACAAGCCACTGTTAGATCTTTTGTGCCAAGGAGTGATACACAGGTGTCCTTGCGTTTTTCAGCACCTTAACCCGATTTTTCAGATCCCACTTTGTCTATATATTATTACTATTTATCCTTAAACTTTCTCCACAATCAACCTTGGCTTCTTTCTATAGTTATAACAAACTCTGCACCAGAAAAGCTCAGCAGGCAGGACTATTATGGACAGCTGGCTCTCAAGTATGTTTACAACAGTCTGCACACTATGGCCAAAGCCTTGCTGAGAAGGAAGAAAAGCTCCCCTCTTACAACAGCTGTTTTATTTTTATTTTACTCATCCCTGGAGGGAAAAATAAGTGCATTAAATACTGCACAGCATTTATCTTACCTCCTGAATATTGTCATTTGTGTTTCGGGAATACATAAAGCTCTTCCTAGGCTCACTCAGAGACTCGTTACTTTTCCTACTAGCTAGCCGGCTCAGTCGGCCCACTCGGCTCTTCTCTGTGATGCTGGGTGGGGTAGAAGGGTTTGCATCTTTGGGACGTTTCCCCTGTTTCGGAGTCTCTACTGTTTCTAGAAAGCGAGTTCCTTCAGAGACAGCATTGTACACAGCTGAGGTCACTTCACTTGCACTCACACTCTCCTTGACGTTCCTTCTACCATTCACATGCTCTAGTGGGCGAGAGCCTTTTCCTTGGCTGGTTCTAGGAGTTTTACCTGAACTATCAGAATCATGATCTGGGCAGGCTTTCCGATTGTTTTTACCACCCGCAGCATGACTGCGGTGAGAATGGTGGTCATGGTCAGTGTGGTGGTCATGGTCAGAGTGGTGGTCATGGTCAGTGTGATGGTCATGGTCAGGGTGGTGGTCATGGTCAGGGTGGTGGTCATGGTGGATGTGGACTCTTTTAATCTTATCTATGCCTATGTTCTGAAGCAATTTTCTGAACCCTTCAACCGACAAGGAATCATTCTCTCCATAGCGGTAGAAAAGCTGTTGCAGATGATGCCGTTGCATGGTAACCGCCAAGTCCACGTTGATGCCAGATTCCCAATTTGAATTAATTTTATCAGTGGTCTGAGAGAAAGCAGCTGTTGATTGTAGTTCATGAAGGGGATTCATGACCCAAAGGGCAAAGATCAAGATCATGATTACAGATAAATTCCTGGCCATAGCACTTTCCTAGAAAAGATAAGAGGGAAAATTCTTTATCACACTTCTAAACCAATTTAAGAAACTTCATGCTGAAAACTGATGCCTAATTAATTACACCATCGACACAGCACTATTTGTTCTGACCAGGATAGGATGAGGGACTTCTGAGATATGGAGAACTAGGAGCCTGGGGTTCCTCCTGCATGCTAAAACACCTGAAACAAATGCAGGACAGTCATGTGCAAAGAGACAGTAATTAGACCTGCAAGAGCAACAGCAGGAGGAAAAGATTCATGTGCTCACAGGCACTCTGTCAGCTTCTCACTCAAAACCAAATCTAAGCGCTTCTATCATCACTTCATAATTAGAAAGATAGTCAGAAAAAGTAGAAACATCAGTCGAAACTGACACTGAATTTTTAAAAACCGTTTTATTTACCTTGGACATACATCCATGTCCTTTATTCCCACCCTACATGATTCTTCCAAGTCTTTGTGTGAATCACATTATTTTCTATCCATCTTCAAACAGATTGGAACACACTCACAGGAGATCTCCACACCCCCACTCAGCAATGAATCAGACCCAATTTCACAGTGTATCCAGATTTCCCAAGGCGTCTGAATGACTGAATAATAGTTCTTTGAGCGAAGTAAACTCTGCTTCATGGAAACGCACTACATTGTTCTTCAGTTGCTACACATTAGCTAGAGAACACTATCTCATAACGTTTGGACTCAAGGCCTATGCCTGAAGAGGAGTCCTCACTCCTTTTCAAGTGGAGCTTGAAAAGCAGAATTCACTTAAGCAGTATAGTACAGTCAGACCTTTGGACGGATGCTAAACCCATGTCTCTAGCAAAAGACGCTGAGGGATTTTGAACTATATAGAAGCAATGGGCAACAGACTACCATTTTCCAGGCTGTTTCTTGGCAGGTTCTCACGTTCATGACTTCATCTGAAAAGCCGGTAATATCTATTTGCAAGGACGACTACACAGTGGAAGTGCTTGTTAAACTCCCCTGTTGCCCAAGTGCTGATTATCATACTAGGCACCCAAATAAATGGAGGCAAACACAACCAGATAGGACCAGACTCCTGCAAACAATCTCGGAGCCTCACGTTTTGAGAATTCATGTGATAGGCAAAAAAGGCTCAGGAAGAAATCATTCCCAGGGGGAGACGCGAGTCATCAGATGGGTGGGGCAGATCTGGCCTTGAGACAGAGAGGAAGATGCGGAAGGCGAGAGACCAGTCCCCAGCTCTCCTTATAGGCCAAGTCTGCCTGTGTGGAAGAAACAAACCGCAAGAGGCCTTGAAAAAAGGGGCAGTGGAGAAAACGGAAAAGCGCACAAAGCTTGCTTTTGAGGGCTCCTGTAAGGAAACGCGTTAGTAGCTTCTTTGAATGCGGGTGAAAAGTTAAACCATCGTAGCAAGTCCCTAGTTTTGGAGCAGCTACCAAGGGCGAGTGGTCTCGAGGC